TCTCTGGAGGGTGAGTGACTGAGGGCAGCTCCTGTTACAGAAGGTGAGAAAGGGGCATGGAGCTTTTGCCAGGCACAACTGACTAATCTTTCTTCTGTAGGTATGTTCTGGGCGGAGGTGCCATCTGCATGGAACTTCTCACCAAACAGGTGAGCCTATCTCTTGCTCTTGGTCAGGCTGGCCAGGGCAGGGCTTGGCTGAGCTTTACCACACCACCCCCCTACGGGTTTGGGGTTATGGGCTTAATGTGGCCCTTTCATTCTGCTAGGCAGAGCCTGTACCCACTGACCTAAGCAAACAGGTGGTGGCTGTTCCAGGAGTGAAGGGCAAGGGCCCTCCCATTGATGCAGCTCCTTGCTGGAGAAGGAGTGTAAGGTTCTGGGAACCTTCCTGACTCGTTTGCTTTCGTTTCCCAGGGCTGGAGCAGTGCCTACTCGATAGAGTCCGTGATCATGCAGATCAGTGCCACACTGGTGAAGGGAAAAGCACGAGTGCAGTTTGGAGCCAACAAAGTAAGGAGCTGGGGCCTGGGGTTGCTGTGACTACTAGAGCCAGGTACAGTTTGGGCCACAAGCAAGCCATGGCTGCCTTCTGAGGGGCCAGAGGATAAAGCCCTCTAGGCTGGTGGTCCTGGGACACCCTCAGTGGGAATAGGAGCAGGGCCTTGGCCTAAGGAGCTTCCTAAGACTTTGGGGAGGACACAGGTCTGGTAGGGAATGCTATGGGATTGCACCCCAAAGGGACCTCCAGGTGGGGGGTAGTATGCTAACAGAGCACAAGTTTGGGAGGTGGGTCTCTGGGTGACAGCCTATGGAAGCTGAGGAGCAGTAAAGCCACAGCTGGCCATGGCCTGATTTGGTGGCTTCTTCTCCCTAGTCTCAATACAGTCTGACAAGAGCACAGCAGTCCTACAAGTCCTTGGTGCAGATCCACGAAAAAAACGGTGAGGCTGGAGCCAGGACTCGAGATTTGGACCCTTGGAAGGCCTGAGGTTTTCACTTCCAGCCAAATAGCAAGAACCCTTTCTTTTGGTTTCTGAGCCTTTACCACCCGTTAACACAGCACCTGCCCCTCTTTTCCAAAGAAAGGCTGGAGGTGGCCACCTTCACAACCTCTTCCCCTAAAAAAGCACCAACGATCATACCACATGTGGACTTGGTGCTGCCCCACTTCCCGACCACCCTTTTTGAGAAAGCTCATCTCACTCTTCTGTCATCTCAGGTTGGGCACATCCTCTCCCCTTCCTTATGATCTCCAGGTAGGCAGTTTCAGCTTCCCGTGCACCTCTCCCCCCGCACTGGGAAGCCCTTCCTAGGATCTTTTCACCTGTAATCCTGGAGGTGTCTTCAATGATCAGGGCTGGGAGCAGGGACACTTCAGCCTCCACCTCACTGTCTTGCTGGGTTTCTTTGCAGGCTGGTACACACCCCCAAAGGAAGATGGCTAACCCCGGAGTGTCGACCCCTTCCTCCTTCCCCAGGCACCACTGGACCAATTACCTTTGAATGCTGTATTTGGATCTTACGCTGCCTCTGTGGTTCCCTCCCTCGTTTTTCCTGGACGTGATAGCTCTGCCTATTGCAGGACAATGATGGCTATTCTAAACGCTAAGGAAAACACACCGAACTGTTTCAAGTACTCAAGACTGACTTACAGACCAACCAGCCACCTGGCCAGAACCCTTGCTAGCAGGCATTCTTATAAAAGAAACTTTCAAGCCTCCTTATATTGCTGGAAACTCAGCTGTGCTCCAGACTAGAGCCTCCTTACCTATGCTATGGATTTTTAATTTATTTTCTCTTATTTCATGTACACTTTTTTTGGTTACAGTGTATGATGGATGTGTATGAAAAAATGTATCTTTGGGAAAACAATTACAGTTTGTTAATTTGAAGATGCTGGTCTTGACTCATCTTTATTTTTATTCCCACATCCACCCCACCCCCATCCCCTGAACTACTTGGGTGGTGGGGGAGGGGCAGAGATGAGAGGCTGTACTTCACTGCTAAAGCCAGAGTAAGGTGGAGCTGAATTTCTTCTGAAGGCCTCTGGAGCGACCAGCACTTGTTCCCCTTGGCATGCAGAGCCTGGCCTGCTGAAGCATCGTGTACAGGCTGAAATGATGACCTTAATTCTTAGGACTACTTTTCTAGTGACAGATGTTTTCAAATTTCTAAGAAGAAAATGGGAAAGGAGGCTTAAGAGGCTGCTGTTTCACAGAATGCTTTTAAATGAATTGAGTGGGGATGGGGCCGTCTCGTGTGCGGGGGTCTCTCTGGTCTCAACAATGTGCTGTGTGCTACAACTCCGGTGTTCGCTGATCCTCCCTGAAAATGGCTTCTAGCTAGCACTGCAGAGTGTTCACTGGCAGCTTCTTTGCTCAACCTCCTGCTTCTTAGTCTCGTAAGAGAAAACAGGTGTAGCTCTGAAGTTTGGCTTGAGGAATTAGATTCTTTCAAGCCACTCCCATAAGATGGGTCCTCTGGGAAGGTTAGCTTTAAGGGGGTTGTCTACGCCTGTGTCCTCACCCTAGGCTCTGGGAACTGCTGGGAGGGGAGAGTGAGGCGGGACGTCTTCTGAGCAAGAATTGTCAGTGCTGTGTTGTCTCTACATGCTGTTTAAAATTACAGGCATGGCGTGCTGCCTGCCGCCCTGGTCAGTGAGCTTGCTTTGGGGTTGAGACAGGCTCTTAGGGACAGACTATGCCTACAGACTGGATGATGACTGCAATGACAGAGCCAGGGATGGCTAAGCGAAGAGCTAGTCTTAGAAGGCCCAGGATTGAGAGAGACAGCTGCCTGGGAGCCTGTAGGATGTCAGTTCTGTAATGCTTTGTTTTAACATTGGTCATTTCCCCATTTTCTTTTAAGGGATTAATGTCTAGCTGCTTCAGGTGGATGGAGAGTTCAACGNTATTCTAAACGCTAAGGAAAACACACCGAACTGTTTCAAGTACTCAAGACTGACTTACAGACCAACCAGCCACCTGGCCAGAACCCTTGCTAGCAGGCATTCTTATAAAAGAAACTTTCAAGCCTCCTTATATTGCTGGAAACTCAGCTGTGCTCCAGACTAGAGCCTCCTTACCTATGCTATGGATTTTTAATTTATTTTCTCTTATTTCATGTACACTTTTTTTGGTTACAGTGTATGATGGATGTGTATGAAAAAATGTATCTTTGGGAAAACAATTACAGTTTGTTAATTTGAAGATGCTGGTCTTGACTCATCTTTATTTTTATTCCCACATCCACCCCACCCCCATCCCCTGAACTACTTGGGTGGTGGGGGAGGGGCAGAGATGAGAGGCTGTACTTCACTGCTAAAGCCAGAGTAAGGTGGAGCTGAATTTCTTCTGAAGGCCTCTGGAGCGACCAGCACTTGTTCCCCTTGGCATGCAGAGCCTGGCCTGCTGAAGCATCGTGTACAGGCTGAAATGATGACCTTAATTCTTAGGACTACTTTTCTAGTGACAGATGTTTTCAAATTTCTAAGAAGAAAATGGGAAAGGAGGCTTAAGAGGCTGCTGTTTCACAGAATGCTTTTAAATGAATTGAGTGGGGATGGGGCCGTCTCGTGTGCGGGGGTCTCTCTGGTCTCAACAATGTGCTGTGTGCTACAACTCCGGTGTTCGCTGATCCTCCCTGAAAATGGCTTCTAGCTAGCACTGCAGAGTGTTCACTGGCAGCTTCTTTGCTCAACCTCCTGCTTCTTAGTCTCGTAAGAGAAAACAGGTGTAGCTCTGAAGTTTGGCTTGAGGAATTAGATTCTTTCAAGCCACTCCCATAAGATGGGTCCTCTGGGAAGGTTAGCTTTAAGGGGGTTGTCTACGCCTGTGTCCTCACCCTAGGCTCTGGGAACTGCTGGGAGGGGAGAGTGAGGCGGGACGTCTTCTGAGCAAGAATTGTCAGTGCTGTGTTGTCTCTACATGCTGTTTAAAATTACAGGCATGGCGTGCTGCCTGCCGCCCTGGTCAGTGAGCTTGCTTTGGGGTTGAGACAGGCTCTTAGGGACAGACTATGCCTACAGACTGGATGATGACTGCAATGACAGAGCCAGGGATGGCTAAGCGAAGAGCTAGTCTTAGAAGGCCCAGGATTGAGAGAGACAGCTGCCTGGGAGCCTGTAGGATGTCAGTTCTGTAATGCTTTGTTTTAACATTGGTCATTTCCCCATTTTCTTTTAAGGGATTAATGTCTAGCTGCTTCAGGTGGATGGAGAGTTCAACGGTCCCCCTCAATGCTGCTCTAACTCTACCCACACCCACCTGATATAGGGGTGCTAAACAATGCTGAAGTTTAGATAAAGTGGGGACCCCAGGGGAAAACTCATTCCATAGAGCTGAAATCCAGTTCTCAAGGCCTCTGTGGCTTTCTTCTGAACTTATCACCAGCCCTGGCTGAAATGTAGATTGTGTTTTTAGTAATGTGTACTGTGAGCTGTCCTCTGTATAATGTATTTTGTAATGTATTTTTCTCATCTACCAAAGGATGAAACAAATAAAATTATTTAAATAGTTTGGCTCTACTCAATTTTTTTAAAGAACTAATGGGGTCCATGTTCCCCTGCCATAAGGGAAGCAAGCACCAGCTCCTGTGAGTTGTACACCAGCTCTCAGAGAACCTCCACTTTTCTTGTCACACCTAACATTCCCTTTTATGACCTTAAGTTTAAGGTTCTAATGAAGTTACAAATCATAAAAGAATCAAAGCCATATCATCCTAAATCAACTTTCTTTTAAGAAGGCAAGGAGAAATAAAAAAAGCTCTTTTATGTCAGTATCCTACACCAAGCGTCAATGAATCCATCCCAGGCAGGGTTTGCCCAGCCCAGAGCCCACAGCCAGGGCTGACTTAGCACCTGAGGCACACAGCAGCTTCTCCTCACTGCTGTGGTAGGAGAGGGCAGGGCTGGGGAGGGGGAGCTAAGCAGGAATCAATCACCCCAAACTCATGAAACATGCCAACATTTATTCACCACGGTGACGGCTCACTGGTTATATGCTCCCCATCTGGTTCTACAACAGAATGCCAGGAAAATTAAGCAGTGGGCCCTTCCATTCCCAGAATCTCCAGAATCCGTTAGGGCAATTTATATCATGCTCTGGGGGCGCAAAAAAGAGGAAAGAAATACATAGCCACCTGAAGCTTTCAATGTAAGCTTCCTACATTTGGTTCAAATGTTCATTCTCAGTGGCGAACTGAAGACACGTAACAGACTTCACTTTCCTGAAAGGCGAGCTGAGGGTAAAGGCAAATGGGAATCAAGTCAATCCTGGGCACCAGTATGGCCTTTTTCACCCACAAAGCCTCAAGAATGGAAGGGGGACAACAGGTCAGGGCAGGCAGAATCTGGACAGGAGAGGAAACGAACTGATGCTAGCCACGTTATTTAAACTCTTCAAACTTCAGGATGTGCGACTGCAAGAGAAAGAGAAAGTCTCAGTGGGAAGGAAGGACCACCCATAGCACCCACCCCTTGGATAACTTCAGTCTGTTTGGTCTAAGGGAATGCCCGATAAACCCACGGATCCAGGCCTTGGCGGTGGCCTGCAGCTCAGACCCTAGCGTGGGAGCCGGGAGAGAAGGGCTGAGTTAGATAGAGGGGCACTTACCTCCAAGTTCAAAGCGCCAACAATTTTCCCTTTGAGAATGTGATGGATCACCTGATATGAACTCAAAATGCCTGCAGAACAAAACACAACAAAACCTTGGTGGAGCTGGGTCAGGCAGGAGGAGAAAGGGAGGGAAGATGGCCGGGGCTGCTGCGGGAAACTGCTCTGGCTACACAGCAGCTCCTACGAGTCTCTGCTAGTTAGTGCTAACTCCCTGCTGCCAGGATAAAGTGAGATAAATGCTGGAAAGGGGGGAGGGGGGAGGGCGCACTAAGAACATATAAAAGGAAGGGACATTATTATTGTTATTAAAATAATGACATGAGGCTCGGACTTTACATTCTCTAATGGGAAATTCTGGGGACAGAAAACTTCAACTCTGCTCTGCACATTTGGGCTGGAGGGATAGAGGTGAGAGGCAGAGACACTTTCACCGCCATGCGTGAGCATCCTTACACGCTGGAGCGAGGCAGGGCAGGCCTCTGGTCAAAATGTCTTTCCTTACTCCACTCCTGCTGTCCTGCCAACCTCCAAATTCTGGGACTGTCTTTATGCGTGAAACTGGCCATATTAAAAGTCAGACCTCATTTCCATCCTCAGCTACACCATTTTCTTGCTATGAGAGGTGAAGTTCCTCCCACTTTTCTGAGCCTTTCCTCATCTGTACACCGGCCTGCCTGACCTCTCAGGACCATCTCTAAGTCCACAAGGGAGCTGAGCACAGCCCCATATCTGGTTGGGCACTCTGGCCCCTCTGACAGGCTGGGAGGTGCTCCTTGGGGCAAGGGTGCCTCTACTCTGCACCACCCCCTACCAGCCAAGCAGTCAGGTTCAACCTGCCTCCAACTCCGGAGCCCTGGCGGTGGACCTGTTACTGCCCAGGCTGGGCAGCAGGGGCCTCTTCATGCAGTTACCCAAGACAGCCTGTGGGTGGTGTTCCTGACCACTAGGCACCATTCCCCTCGGCCGCCCAGGGAGCCTTGGGCCTGCACTGGGGGAGGGTGTTTGTGTGTCTGTCTTCACCTCTGCTTCTCCTGATCCTCCAAAAGCATTCTTTCATCCTTTCACAGAGCCACTCAGCTTTCATCCGTTTTATGTACATTGAGTTTTGCTTAATATTTCATTGGAAAAGGATTCTGTTCTAGAAAACTAGACTTTGAAAACAATGGCAGGGTTTAGGGCACTGGACTCTGCATCTTCTTTTGATGTGCTGCTCCTCAGGCACAGAGCGGCTCTGGCAGAAGCAGGGGTAAGAAGCCCGCCCTCCCTCTCTGCACCTAGAGAGCTCAGCCTTTGGACAGCACCTGTTGGGGCCCACAGAGCCCAGGTGTGAAAACTAATATTCAAGAGGCAGCTCTGCAAGAGGCAGATGCCAAAAACTGGGATAAGATCAAATGACTAGGGATTTAAGGGTACCCTGAGGGCCTTGGCTGTCCCCACGCCATCCCCCACAGAGGTCCTGGAGGCAGGCACAGCATCCCCCATCCCTGATCCTCACGAGGAGGCTGGAGGGCATCTTACCTTTCTCCAGTATGAATGGCTGAGTCAGAGGGGGGATGGTCCAGAAGTCATCACTAGCCAGGCTGCGCAGGGACTGTACTGGGACGGTGGCCAAATGGCCAAAATCGATGAACATGACCACAGCCCAGGCATCCACCCTGTCCACTACCCAACACCTGGCCAGAGGGAGATGGGAAAGGAGGGTTGTTCCACCTGGCGTCGTGCACAGTGGTCCTCGACAAAGAGGGCTTAAAGGTCAAAGGAGAAGAGTTTCCTTTGCTTTTCCCCTTCTTTGGGCAGGGAAGTGATATCAGAGATCCTGAGAGAGGAAGCAGCAGGAAAGAAACCAGAGTCCAAAGGAGGGAGAAGGGAAGGAGCGACTCTGTCCGCCAGCCTGTCCCATAGTGTCCATACCTGTTCCAGGCCCGCCCGTAACTGCCCAGCTGGTACTCGGCCAGACAGCGGGTCCCACGCTGCACGGCCGCGTCACGCAGGTAGGGCTGCTGCTCTTCCGCCTCAGCCAGGGTGCTGAACAGCACCTGCATGTTCTGGTGCAGAGTCTGTAGGTGGCACACACACAGCGGGACTCACTGCCTGCCTCACATCACACATCTGTCTCTGCAGATGTCACCCGTTATACCAGCACCACTAATCTGCCCCAAGGGAACCAAAGGTACCAGGTGGGAGAAAGACGCGGAACCCAGGGATCAGGCTGCAGTCGTTCTGGATTCCACCGCCGACTGGCCCACCACCACGCTAGCTCCAGGAAGGCTCTGTGAGAAGGCACCAAGCCCATACCTCCGTGATGTGCATGGCCCAGAAGAACGGGGTGTGAGGGACAATACTGGTCACCAGCAGTCCCACCTCCCTGCCTGCGTTGCAGATGGTGGCCAGCCAGCTCAGGTCTCGGAAGCATTCCCTCAGGAGCAGCACCAGGAAGGATCCTCTGGGGGAAGCAGTGGATCACAGGGAAAGGGGTGAACAATCTGACCAACACTTGTCCTGGAGGATGCTGGGCAGGTCCAGGCAGGACAGTGACCCTGAGCAGGAGGGTCAGGTCCACCTCGTCCAGGGAGGGGACAAGTGCATACTGCAGAACAAAGGCAGCACCATGCCAGGGGGCAGGGTGGTAGAGTTTGGGAAGGGGGAGTCCCAGAGGGAAACAAAAACATGCCAGGACTCCACAGACAGAGATGGACCAGAGCCCTCACTGGGCTGACTCTGAGCCCACCAGATGCTTTGGGAACCGCCACATGATGCAAGTGTGGACTGCCCAAAATCCAGGACACGTTTTCAATCCCAAATTCCTCCTCCTGAGTTTAGTACATGCAGACTTCACCCTCCCACTCCACTAACTTCATCACCCAAGTCACATGTGGTCAGCAAGGCAAACCTGCTGCTTTGAAAAAACACACAAACCACTCGTCCTACAGCATTTCCAGCCAGTTGGAAAGATTATTCTGGCATCCCTGACATTAAGAATGGTGCCCCTTGCCCTGGCCAGTGTGGCTCACTGGTCAGAGTGTCAGCCCGCCCACCTAAGAGTCTCAGGTTCGATTCCACAGGCCTTTACTATCCAAAAATGGAAATAGATTTTCTTAGGTCACTGTGGGTCTGGTGCAGGAGTTCCTGAAAACTTCATTCCCACACTGGTGCCACCCCTAACCCTACCCCCACCCTCTGGGGACTGAATGATGTTTGCAGTCACCACTTGCCCTGGTGGCCCCTGTACACCTCCACTAACCTCATTTCCAAGGGAACTGCAAAGAAAGTTGTCCTCAGTTTCTCTGTCTCTTGGGAGTCACCAGAAGCTTTAGGAGTGAGCTGTGTACAAGCTGAAAAGCAGAAGACTGAGTCTTGGGAGCACCAGAGCTGCCCCTGCCCTGCCCAACCCCAAGATGCCCTGGCCCTACCCTCAGACATAGGACACGATGGGCCACAAGGCCTCATCCTTCCATGTCTAAGCCTCTAGATCTTCAGCTGGGTGGGGAGGGTGTGCTGCACGATAGTCATTAATCAAGAAAGCATCCCAGAGGAATCAAAAGGGATATTTCCTACACTGAGAGGTCAACAGGGGACAAAGCTGAATGGGAGGCTGGGAGAATTAAGTCAGGAGTTGTGAAGACACACCATGGGAACTCAGGATCTCGCCAGTGAGGTTGGCAAATCCTTGACCAGAAGCCCTCTCCAAAACCTAGGGAGAAAAGAAACATTCTCATTCAGGCACGGCAGCATTTATTGCATTGATTTATATGTTGAGTCACTCCAAGTGGACTTGGAGACACTGTCAACAGCCACTGCACTGCCACAGGCTTTAGCTGAGTTTTGAGACACCCACTCACTTTCTCCTTTCTTGCTGGGATCCCGAGCAAACCATGAAAAGAAATGCAGAAACAGGGGAGGGAGGCAGGCAGGTGGCTGCAGGGGTGCTCCATCAGGACTTACAGTCGCAGAAGTCCAGACTGTGAGGTCCCTGATGGACCTCCCTCCATTTACTATACTTGGATTTTCTTAAATCTCTGGCTCAGTTTTCCCACCCTTCCAATGGCTCTTTATAATACCTCTCTATTCAACTTTCCATTTTTCTTCATACAAATATCACCCTGCAGTCTCACACCATCCTGCTCTCTCCTGGAATGGCTGCTGCACAAAGCTTCTACCCCTCTGTCACCATCTGGGCGCTAACTCTCTGGCCCCTCTCCTGGGTTGGATCTCCTGTTCCTAGACCTCATTTTTTAGCTTGCTACTTCATTTTATTGGAGCACATCCCTCTGTAGCTTTCTGAGGACAGGTACATGGGGCATACATTTTTGAGATCCTACATTTCCCTTTTTTTTAAAGAGAGAGAACAGATTTGAGGTTGGACACCATCTTCCTGCAGAATTCAAGGACACCACACAATTCCACACCCTTCAATGTGGATTCTCATCCTGAAGCTTTATCCTAGAATTCTAAAATATTTCTGTAACGTGTGCTGGTGTCAGTTTTTATTTTCCCATTCGTTATTTGGGCACTAATTGCTTTCGATCTGAAACCTCACATCCTTGACTCCTGGGAGAGTTCGTTATGTCATTTGATACTCTCTCCCTCCTGTTGACCTGAACGCTTCCTGGATGCGTAGGTTGCACCACAGAAGCTGATTCTCTACTTTTACTTTTTCTCCTCTTGAAAACAATTTTATTACAAAATATTCCAAATGATAAATCCTCTCCCCCAAAAGCAATGATAAAACTTGACATAACTGTGAAAAACAACCATTTCAGGGCCTGGCTGGGTGGCTCAGTTGGAGCATCGTCTCATACACCAAAAGCTATGGGTTTGATTCCTGGTCAAGGCACAAACCTAGGTTGTAAAGTCAATCCCCAGTCGGGGGGCATATGGGAGGCAACTGATCAATGTTTCTTTCTTACATCGATGTTTCTCTCTCCCTCTCCCTCTCCCTCAAATCAATAAAAATATATTCTCGTATGAGGATTAAAAGCACAAAACCAAAACAACCATTTCAGGACTCTGGAAACCGACCAGAAATATACAACAAATTGAGTGTCTATTAAAAAACAATAACAACAGTCCGGCCAGCGTGGCTCAGGGGTTGAACATCGACCTATGATCCAGGAGATCTCCAGGAAATCGTGGTTCGATTCCCAGTCAGGGCACATGCCCAGGTCGTGGCTGGATCACCAGTGGGGGGCGTGCAAGAGGCAGCCGATCAATGACTCTCTCAACATTGATGTTTCTATCTTTTCTCTCTCCCTCTCCCTTCCTCTCTCTGAAATCAATGAAGTTTTTTTTTAAACTGAAGAGCCCAGAAACACCAACAGGCACAGACAAAAAAAGCCCTAACAAAATCCTATACTCGCTTGCCAAAGGACCAGAAAATTTCTAAACCATAAACTGCTCTACTCCAGCTAAACATGCACACACACAAATGACCCCACGTCTATGCACACCAGCAAACACAAGCGGGGAGCCTAGACTCTCAGGAGGATCATCCACATGGACACTGAGTTTGAGGAGAGAAAGGCAGCAAGCCAGAAGCCGAAGCTACCAGTGAGTCAGGGGGCATGACAGACAGGATGGCAGATGACTGCTACCGAGAAGGTTAGTAAGTAGCATAACCTGACAGCCTGTCCTCCCAAAGAGCTAGGGTTTACAGAGAAAGGAAGAAAAACAGTTTGGCACTAGCAAGGGGCCACCTATGACCATCTTACCGTGGTGATTCCAATCCACCTCGCAACTCTCATCTCCAACTTCCCCAGCTGTGGCCGACCTTGCTAACTGCCGCCAATATGCATTTCTCCATCCTCACTGACAGAACCCCAAGGCTAGCAACAATGTGCCTATTTTTAAAACTACATTTTCCAGCCTCCTTTGCATTTAAGGCCAAGAGTTGCAGTTTTCTACAAGAAAATATAAGCAGGACTGTGGTTGGAGCTTCTGAGCACATGCCTTTTATGAGGACACAGGCCCTCTACCCTTTGCCTCAGTCCTTCCTCCCTGGAACCCTGAGAACATCCTGGAGTCCCCACACAACCTAAATTCTTCTACAGGAAAGAAAAAAACCCCTAACTTGTTTAAGTGAGCATCGTTCAGGTTTCCTCATAGATGCAGCCAAGTCAATCCCTAACAATTCAGCTCTGAAGTGGGAACCTTTGTTCCTGACTCACCTCTACCTACCAAGAATGGGCCCACGTCACCTGAGGGAAGCTCTGGGGTTAGTTAGGGGCCTTCCCTTCTCTGTCCACAAAGAACCTCACCATTCACTGCCCCCCTCCCATCCCTCATATTGGCATTATTTGTCTTCCTGCCAATAAGAACCAGATTTTGTTCACTTTTGTCTTAACCTCACTGCAGCAGCCAGAACAAGGCTGTGCAAGCAACAGACACTCAATATTTGCAACATTAAACGAGTAAAACTCTCAATTCAATATCCAAGGTCAAAAAAGCCCTGACTGAATTGCCTAGGAACCCTTTTTTGCCCTTGCCCAGAACACAGCCTTCCTTTTATTTAAAAATTCCAGCTTTTCTGTATCTCACCTTGGCCCTGACTGTTAAAGGTCATAAAAGTTTCCCCAGTTTCATCCAAGCCCCCACCTTCTCCACAGTAAGACCGGACTGAAGGAGGTCTGCAGCCCTCTGAAGAGGGAGCACGAAGCCAGCAGAGCCTGGAGAGCCTGGAGCACGTACCTGCAGCTCCCGGGGCCTCTTGGCCACGCCAGGGATCCTCTTGGGAGAGCTTTTGTTGGAATTCACGTACAGTTTCCGATTGTGGAAGAGCTTCCCATTCAGTTCCTGGATTGCAAGCGCCACTTTCCACACAGAGCCCAGATCCACAAACGCAAAGCTGCAAAGGAAGGAGATGGCAGTCCTGAGCACATCTCAGGACAGAGCTGCAGGAGGGTGCCAAGTACAAACGCAGGTCTCCCCCACCCCTTCCACAGCCACAGGGACTCCCAGACACACGAACAAGTGACTGAGGCCCAGACTTGGGCTGGGCTCGGAGGCAGGGATCAGAAGACCTGCGTTGACTCTACCACTAAACACCATATCTGGCTCCATATGGCTTTGGGCTTCAGTCATACTACTCCCCCCAAAAGTTCAAAGCACTTTTACTCCCTTGAAAGTAAGAAAGGGAAAATATGAGTAGGTCCAGTTTCCAGGGGCAACCAAGTAAGGGAGGTTCGATCTCTTACCTCAAGTCACAAAACAGAGCAAGGATGTTACCAAAAATAAACCCAGGACTCTGGACTCCTAAACCAAGGCTGTGTGGACAAGACAGTATTAGCTGCCAAGTCAAAGGGGGCTTCCAAATGTCACTTGGCCAAGTCACAGTGGGTGTGGATTTGGGAGCTCAACAGCTAGTCTGCAATGTCAGTCCATCAGCAAAATGGGCCAAAAGGAAAGGAGCTGCTTCCCAAAGAAAACACAGGAAGTACAGTCATTACCATTTGCAGCCACTCTGGATTTTGTGGACATGGAGAGGGTTGAAGTCCTTCAGGAGGTACCGAATTTCCTCCTACGATGGCAGTGTTTGAAAGAGAAAGAGACCCAAAGACAAATCTTACAACTAGTTCTCAAGGTTTTAGACCCCCAACCAGCTCATCTGTAATCACTTGGAAACATTTACTGAAAGTCTATTATGTCCTGTGTGTGCAGGTTCAGTGCTACGTGATCAAATACTGAGGCAAGAAAGAGGTAAGTCCTGCCTCCAACTGAAGCTCAACAATCCAGTGGGGCTCCGGACAAGACAAGCAAATAAACAGACCATTTCACCCACAGTGATGAATCCCGTGATGCAGAAATACAGACAGCTACGGGAGCACACGGTAGGAGTATCTCACCGAGGTGGAGCGAAGAGAGGTGGTCAGGGCAGGCTCCCAGGAGGAAGTGGCTTTAAACTTACTAGGAATAAGTTTATCTCACTTCCATCCCTACCTGGGCAGGGAGGCTTGTGTTAAGCAAACCTACTGTGCAGTCAACTCAGTCCTGTGTTCACAGAAACCTTCCCTCATTTCTTGCTTCGTGCGTTCAACAGACATGCAGCAAACGTGTGCTATGTGCGAGCCTTAAGCTGGCTGTTAACAGTAGACACTGATTGGAACTCAACATCAGCCTTGCACTCAAGGGGCTTCTAGTTTAGCAGGGACAGAGTGATCTCCTGTCCAACCCACGGGGCAGAGTGATATCTGAGAGTAAGAGGTGGAGGGAAGGGGCAAGCGGCGTGCTGAGGGAGAGTCCATTTCTCTCTGGTCGGCCTCCCGTCAAGCCGCTCATACCCACCACACCTTCTTGGCAAGTTCCCCCTGCCCACTTTTCTCACTGTGGCCTGGCCCCCGCTGCCCAGGGCCAGGGTCTCCTTCCCCTTCCCTGGACGTTCCTCCACACCTGTCTCAACGCCTCCTCCCCAGGGGCGCCTGGTCCCACTCCTTCCCACTGGGCTAGCTGGGGCCCTCATTCCCCCCCCACACCGCCCCCTTTCACTGAGCTAATGTCTGGGGGGCCCCGATGCCCTTTCGCGCTATACCCTATTTTTTTCTCTTTTCTGCCAAACCTGCAGAAAAAGCGTCTCCTCTCTGCCCACTCCCTCCTAACAGCCCAGCCTAGCTTCGGTTCCTGCCCTACTGAAAATACTTCCTTGAAGGTCCCGCATGTGCTCCTGCTGCGCACCTCGAGGTGCTCTGGCGGCCTCCACTCTACTCCTGCCTCCACCTCTCCACACAGCCGCCTTGCTGCTTCCCCACCAGCACACACGCTACGCTGGTAAATTCCACAACCGTGAGGAAAACCAACTTTTCCCTGGAAAATTCTATTTTGGAAAAAAACGTGTACCATTTACGCACTCTTCTTTTAAAAGCAGCTCTTGCCAATCTAAAGTCACTTTGTTGGGTGAGGAAATTAGAAATGCATTATGTATAACTCATTTTTCTCAGTCCTCATGTTTATATTACATTTAAATTCAAATTTTCTAATTTGCTTTACTTTTAAATATTTAATGTTTATTACACATGAATCTACAAGATGCTGAGCACCATGCAATTTGTGAGTACAAGCAGTATGTGCTTAGCATTTTCAGTTTATAACGTGCTTCACCTACCTTATTCCATTTGCTCTTTAAAATTGCCCTGTGAAGTGCACATTACTGTTGTGCTCATTCTCAGAAGCATAAAATAGGATCAGAGAGGCTAAGTGACTTCCCTAAGACTACACAGCCAAGAGAGTCAGGATTTCAACCCAGGGATTCTAACTTCAAATCCTACATTCTTTTCATTATATCGTGCAAAACCTCAGCTGTCTTCTCTTTAGGTGTTACCATTATTAAAATAAAATAGGAAACTATTTAACATTTTGTATCTTCTATAGCAGGTGTCAGGAAACCACAGCCCCGAGCCAAATCCAATCAACCACCTTTTTTATCAATAAAGTTTTACTAGAACACAAGCACACACATTCATTTACTTATTGTCTAGGCTGCTTTCATGCTACAATTCCAGAGTAGAGTATTTTCAACAGAGGCATATGATGTACAAAAGCATAAGATATTTCTATCTGACCCTTTGTGGAAAAAGTGCACCAACCCTCATTCCATAGCAATGGTTCTCAATGCTGACTGCAAATGAGAGTCTGCTGGACGGTTACTTTTTCTTTGGGGTTGAGATTAAAGCATCAACATTTTTTAAAAGCTCCCAGATGATTTTAATATGAAGCCAAGGTCAAAAACTACTGTTCAATGGTATCATGGCTCAGTCGTTGAGCATCGACTCATGAACCAGGAGGTCCCGGTTCGATTCCTGGTCAGGGCACAAGCCCGGGTTGCAGGCTCGATCCCCAGCAGGGGGCGTGCAGGAGGCAGCGATCGATGATTCTCATCACTGATGTTTCTCTCTCTCTCTCCCTCTCCCTTCCTCACTCTGAATAATAAAAAAAAGTGAAAAGACAATTAAATGGGAGAAAATATTTGTAAATCATATCTGATAAGGAAACTCTTAAAAAAAAAAAACAATTTAAAAATGGGCATATAATTTGAATAGGTACTTCTCCAGGAAAGATACAAATGACCAATAAGCACATGAGCAGATGCTCATTAGTTAAGAAAATCAAAACCACAATGAGATACCACCTCATATCCACTAGATGGCTATAGTAAAAAAGACAGGTTTTGGTGAGAAAGTGGAGAAATTGGAATGCTCATACATTGCTGGTGTGAATATAAAATGGAACAGCTGTCTTGGAAAACAGTTTGGTTGTTCCTCAGAAAGTTAACCACAGAGCTACCATGTGACCCAGTAATTCCATCCTAGGTATATACCCAAGAGAACTGAAGCATATGTTCACACAAAAACTTGTACACCCGTGTTCAGAGCAGCATTATGCTTCATAGCCAAAAAGTGGAAACAACCCAAATGTCCATCAAATGATGAACTGATAGACTGTGGTATATCCATGTAATAAAAACAGTATTCAGTCATAAAAAAGAATGAAGTACTGACACATGCTATGACTTGAATGAACCCTAGAAGCATGCTATGTGAAGGAAAACACAAAATGCCACATGTTGTATGAATTCATTTATATGAAATGTCCAGAATAGGCAAATCCATACAGACAGAAAGTCAAGTCGTGGTTTCCAGCGGCTGGGAGGAAGGGGGAGGGAGGAGAGGCTGCTAATGGGTATGGGATTTATTTGGGGGATAATGGAAACGGTCTGGAATTACTGGTGATGTTCGCACAACCTTGTGCATATACTAAAGACCAGCGAATTTTATGGTATGTGATTTACATCTCAATTAAAAAAAGAAATGTTAATACAAGGAAAAAAAGATGCTGGCTACTGTTATTGCTGTAAGTAATAAATCATCCCTCATCTCTAATCGACAACTGTCATCTTCTACCAACAACCATGAAAATGCTACAGGCTAACCTGCTGGTTGCAAGCAGGGTAAAGTCACAGTTTTTAACAGGACTTTAGAGTTATCATAAATTTCTTTCTAGAAACCTACTCCATTAGCTCAAGTCTTTCCTAGGAGGCTGGTCTGAGTTTACAGGTTTGTGGGAAAGCCTGTTTTTCCTGTGGAAGGGATGAAGGCCAAAGCCCAGGTGCTGGGCTTTGAAATAGGCTCTACTGGCAAGAGGTGACAAAGCTCAGTACCTTGCCTCCCCCCCACCACCACCACCAGTGCAGGAACTGCCTGCAGGGGCTCCTGTCCTCATTTCACTGTCAAGTAACAGGTTCTGTGAGCCTGCTGAGGAGAAGAGGAAGGGGAATCAGGTGCCAAGAATCCCCCAGCCCACCCCTTTGACTGAATATAATTTCATTTATTGGGTCAAAACGAATTACTTCATTCTATGTCCAATACCATTTTCTTCTCTCTTTGTCAGATAAAAGCATAATATATCCATCTTTATTGTGGTGAGTTACTTACATGTCTTATTGATTATGTGGTTTGGTGCTTGGGGACAACTAGACATGGATTCAAATCTTGGCTGCCCTCGCTAGGTCTGTGTACTTGGACCTCTTACAGACCTGGCTGCCTCATTTCCAAGGCGAAGGTAACACCCACCACCCAGAGTTATTATAAGAACTTAAAAAAACCCACACGAATGAAGCATTTAGCCTATTTCCTGGAGCATGTCTGATAATTAAAATACAATAAGTGGTAGAAAAGGAATAAAATACAACTTGGGCAGAGAAGACTGAGTTTACCTGATTGGCAAGGGGGCGCAAAGACCAGGACATTTCTGAAATGTTTAGCATGCAGCAGGGGCTCCGCAAAGGTTAGTTTCTCTCATACTTCCAAGAGTAAGCTCCTTGAGTGTAGAGCCTTGGTTATTTCTCTTTAAGCATAATGAACTTCAAGCACATTGTTTTGCATATAATAAATGCTCCAAAAAAAAAAAAAGTCAGGGGATGCTTCAATTTGGGAGATTACACTTCTGTTTTCCTTTCATCTATACTTCAAATGCACTTAATACCCATTTTAAATACTTATGTGATTCTATAATTATTTTACGTTTGTTAAGTTTGGCCTCCCCAAATAGACAGTAAAATTCCTGGAGTTAAAAATACTATTGTTTACATTCTACTCTCCAGGTACACAGCCACTGACTCAACTGGTTCGTTTCAAAGTGAAATGGGTGCCGTTTTTTGGCTGAGACCCGACTGCTCCCTGTGATCAAAGGATGGGCAGCTGAACCCTAATAAGGCCCCTTCCTGAAAACAAGCTGCCTCCTGCAGCCCCTCTGTCCATCCGAAGCAGTAAGTAGGGTGACCAACCATCCAGGTTTACATGGGAGGAGTGGGCACTAACCACCCAAGACGCTAAAGCCAGGCAAGTCCAAGGCAAACTGTGATGAGTTGGTCAGCCTAGTCACCAACTGCGACTGCTTGCACTCTCATAGCTCTAAAACGTCTTTACAAACTGGTAACATTCAGTTACCAGTAGATTAATGTCCTATGGGGGAGACCAATAAAAAAGCAGCAGCTGCTCAGAGAGAGTGAATACCTCAGAGATGTCCAGAGGAAGATTGCCAACATACACCTCGGTCTCCCTCCTCTTGAATCCTAAGAAAAATGGCATTAAAAGGGCAGGCGTAAGGTTAGAAGATTCAAAGGAGTTAACACATGAGTCCTCCCCTCGTGAACAATGATTGGCTACACTGCACCGGATCATTCAGCAAGTACTCATCAATGTTATGGAGGAGGTCCAGTGAAAAGTGCTGGCCTTGGACAAGGCAGGAGCGCACTCTCTGGGGGACAGAGAATCGCCAGCATACCAGGAATCCGATACTTTCAATGAGATATTATGAAGTGTCTGGACGAAGGGGGTTGTGTTTCAGAGTTAACATTAAGCGGAAGGAGGGAAGGAAGGAGGGTGGACAGTGCCGGAGGGAGATGGAACGGAATCCAGGCAGAGGGACCAGCGCATGCAAAGGCAGGGAGACATGAAAAGGCCGGGCACAGGGGGAAACCGCGTGTAGAAGGGAACAGCTCGAGTGCAAGTGGCGTGAGGGTGAGTGGTGACAGAGGAGGCCGGGCCACGTGATGAAACCCGCTGGCTGGGAGAAGGCAGAAGGTGTTAACCAGAAAGGTGACTCGACACAGCTGGGTCTTAGAAAGATCACTTTGGAGACAGTGGAGGGTGACATGAAAGAAGATAAGAATTAGAGAGAAGCACGGAGTTAGGAGCAGCAAGTGCAACGGTGGCTGAGGGTCCGGACCGTGGTAGTGGCAGGGGGACGCACCTGCCATGTGTATGGAAACGTGGTGGCTGACTGGAGCAAGGGCAGAATTTGGTGGATCCGAGTTTCATGCGCACGCAGAAACGGAGTAGACTATTTAAGATCCACACACAGAGGAGGGTCCCAGCACCACCCGCCCCCCGGGCTAACTCACTCAGAGACTTCTGCTCCTCCAACACTCCTTTATCCCCCAGCAGTTCAGCGGAGGGTGGGAAGTCACTGCTGCCCCAGGCCCTGTCAAACACAGTCTCAGTCTCTCACCCCCAAGCCCCAACTCCAACGAAAGGAGTTTGGGCATAAGAAGCAGGGCCCTGCACAAGCCCCCACGCCCCTTTCTGACAGAGGGTTTCCCTTCCTCCTCCCATACTCAGGTTCCAAACCGGGAAGCCCTCCACTGGACCTTTGTCATTGTTAACCAACAGGCAAGAAACGCTGGGGGTGACTCCCAAGCTCCGGGCACCATGAAGCAGGAAGAGAAGGCTCCGTGGTGGAAGGAGGCTTGTTTATCACAAAAGGAAGTGACTTACATGCTGCAGTTTCTTCCCAACAGGATCTTCTGCAAAGCCAACCGCCGGAGTGAGGGGAGGGCCAGGAGAGCTCACCAGCACAGAACTACCGAACAGGCACTGTGGCAGGCAGAAGAATGGCCCCAAAGTGGTCCACGACCTAATCCCAGGATTCTAGTCACCAATTCCAGTGTGGGGTTTCCACATCACCAAGCAACGCTCCGGACATCAGCTGTGTGCAACGACTCTACTCAACTAACACCATCCACCTGGAGAGCGTGCGATTCCGTCGGTTAAGGGCTACAGTTATCACCTGTGCTCCTCACTGGAGGTTCCCGAGACCTCCTCCTTGGGTTCCATCAATTTGCTAGAGTGGCTCACAGATTTGCGTAGCTGGATGGCAGACATGCATAAGGCAAGGTATGAGGTGAGCCAGTCTCCCCAAATCTCCACAGGTTCACCAACCCAGAAGCCCTCCAAACCCCATCCTTCGGGATTTTGTCCCGCCCTCGTTACACAGGCAAGATGGGTTACATCATTGGCCATTGGTGATTGGTTCAACCTCCAGCTTTTCTTCCCTCCCCAGAGGTGGGGCAGAAAGAGGGGTGGACCCAGGGAAAACTTGAACCCTCTAATCATCTGGTTGGGTGCCCTGCCAACCAGGCCCCTTCCTTAGGGGCTTTTCAGCGTCGCCTCATTAACATAACAAAAGATAGCTTCATTGCTCTCCTCACTTGGGCAATTCCTAAGGTTTTAGAAACTCTGTCAGGAACTGGACAAAGCCCAAATACATATTTCTTATTATAAATCACAATATCACACGTATGAATATGTTACTTTCATGGCAAGGGGGAACTAAGGTTGCAGATGGGATTAAGGTTGCTGATGAGCTGACCTTAAAATAGATTGTCCAGCACTGGCCAATGTAGCTCAGTTGGCTGGGCATCATCCTGTGCACCAAAAGGTTGCTGGTTCCATTCCCAGTCAGGGCACATGCCCCGGTTGTGGGCTTGATCCCCTGTGGGGGGTGCAAAGTTGGGGTGTGTGTAGGAGGCAACTAATGTATCTCTCACGTCAAGGTTTCTCTCTCTCTCTCCCCCCTCCCTCCTTTCTACTCTCTAAAAATCAATGAAAATAACATCCTCAGGTGAGGATTAACAACAAAAATTTAAACACCACACCCGCCTCTGCACAGTGACCAGCCGGTGGCTAGAATGGGGCCTTTGGAGTTGGAGAGATGTGGTTTTGAATCCAGCCCAGAGACCTTTGGCAAATTTTATCTGTCAAATGAGAAACAAAACACCTATGCCCAAGATCACGAGGGTGAAGTACAGTACTGTGCTTAAAGCACTTGCCTCGTATTAAGAGCTCAATAAATGGTGGCCATTGGGTTTCATTTTATGCATTTCACCGGTCCTTTTGCTATGGCCCTGTAGAGTATTATTGAAAGGTTAACGTTCAGTGGTGGTGCGTGGGCAGACTAAATAGCCATCTCAGACGGGTGAACAAAGAAAAGTTAAATTTGCCCTAGCTAGTTTTTCTCAGTGGTTGGAGCATCTGCCCTCGGACAGAAGGGTCCTGGGTTCGGTTCCAGCCATGGGAACATACATCCGTTGGAGACTCAATCCCCAGCCTTGGCCAGGGCACAGGCGGGAAGCAACCAGTCAATGTGTCTCTCACATCAATGTTTCTCTCTCTCTCTCTCCCTTCCACTCTCTCTGAAAAGCAATGGAAAAAAATATCCTCTGGTGAGGATTTTTTTTTAAAAATTAAATTTACTAAAAGGGGATGGGAATATCCAAAGGGAAGGGCTACACAGCACTGGGCCAAAGGGTACTGGGTCCATGGCAGCAAAAATATACTTAGGACAGTGAAGCAAGAAAGAGCATAGAACCAGCAGGAGAACTTGGCTGGGCTGCTCTGGCTCCCTGGGAAGTTGAAGAGAAAGAGAGGACCTTGGAGACAGGTTCAGGCGGTAAGCCCGGGACGAGCTTCGGCGGCCCACTGCTCCCCTGGTTGCAAGTCTCGAGGGGTCCCCTCTAAGGGATGGAGATGGCACTGGCGTGCTCCCCTGGTGGAGAGGGAACTGGGTCCTTTGTCCTGAGTGTGTTTATCTCTTCCTTGCAGGTGGAAATCTTAGGGGAGGTCTCAGGAGAGTGTTTCAGTAGAATGTTCATCAGCTTTCCAGGTGTGCTCTTTCCCTGGTCGTGGTCTCCATTGACTGGTTGGTCCCAGGGCAGGGGGTCATTAGTCAATGTGGTTTAGCTGCTTATCTGGGCCTAGAGATGAAATACTTAACTGAGGCCTAGATGTTATCTAAACCACATGACCAGCAATGTGCTAGGGGAGGATAGGTTGCCCTGGGGATAAGGTTCTTGCTAGGTACAGGGCTTCCTGCCCTGGTGAGTCTCCGTACCCTAGTTTCTGTACCTGGGTTTCTGTACCTGGCCCATCTAACAATTACCTTCTCATTTTAAAAGGCAAAGCTCAAGGACATCGGACGATTTGCTTAAGAGTATTAAAAATACTGAGGTAATTCCAGTCTGTGACACCCAAGTCTTAGTTCTTTCCCTACAGATACGAAGGCTATCAGAGTAATTTTAAAGGTTTTTTTCCCCTTTACTTAAAATGTTTAATTAAAACATTAAATTTTAAAAGAAAATGATAACGCTTCCTCTAAATTGTTCCCAGCTGTAGGAGGAAACAATTGCTTTAGCTGCAACTAAATTTAAATAGAACTAAAAGTGGTTAAGATAATTAAAAGACATAGGTATGGATAGACAAAAACAGAAGAGGTTTATGGGCAATATCAGAGTTATGGGTCTTTGTCCCAATTTCCTGGTAATCCCCAGAAAAGTCTACGGGCTTCTGGAACAGGACAGGCACCAACACTTCCCAAGCAAAGCGCCCAGCATTAATCATTCAAAGGTGCCTTTAAGGGTCTGCCAGGTGCTAACAGCTAATATACATTGTCTCATTTACTCCTCACTGGAAACTCTAAGAGCTAGACATTATTACCCCATTGCACAGATAAAGTCCTGGAGGCTCAAAGACAATAATGTGGCAATTTGTCCAAGATAACAATCTATGCTCATTAGTGGAGAAGCTGTTTTTACAATCCAGACCACACTACTCCAAAGTCCAAAGTTTCCACTCTATTGCTTAATCTGGAGAAGTATCTTATTTGTGTTTTTAAAAAGACAAAGAATATATAAAGAACCCGTATAACTCAATAACAAGATAAAGAAACCAATTAGAAAGTAGACAAACAATCTGATAGACATTTCTCCAAAGATATACAAACAGCCAGTAAGGGCACGAAAAGATGCTCAACATCATTAGTCATTAGGGAAATGCAAATCAAAACCACAATAACTCCACCTCACACCCACTATGATGGCTATAATAAAAAAGTCGACAATAATAACGTGTTGAGGATGTGGAGAAACGGGAACCTTCAAATTGCTGGTAGGAATGTAAAATGGTGCAGTCACTTTGCAAAATAGCTTGGCAGTTTCTCAAAAAGTTAAACAGAGAATTCCGTATGACCCAGCAATTCCACTCTTGACTATCTTCGTAAGAGAAATTAAAACATATGTCCACACAAAGACTTGGTCATAAATGTTCATAGCAGCATTGGTGGAAGCATAGCCACAAAGTGGGAACGAACCAAATGCCCAACAACTGATGTATGAATGGATAAATAAAATGTGGTATATCCATACAATGGAATATTATTCAGCAATATAAAATGAAGCATTGATAAATGCTACAAATAGATGAATCTCAAAAACACGATGCTAAAGGAAAGAATCCAGACACAAAGGCCCATACTGTATGATTTCACTTACATGAAAAGTCCAAAATGGTAGAGATAGAAAGTAGATTAGTGGCTTCCTGGGGTGAGAAAGAGATGGGAATAAATTGTAACGGCTAAGGGGCGCAAGGTTTCCTTCTGAGGTGGTGGAAATGTTCTAAACTTAGATTGTGGTGTGATTGTACTGTAAATATATTAAGTACTTTTTAATTGTACACTTAAAACGTGAATTTTATGATGTGCAAATTATATTTCAATAAAGCTTTCAAAAAAAAAAGGTGAAGAAACCATTTCCAACTCACAAAGCACCGACGCAAATGAAGCGGATGGGTGGCCAGGATCACTCAGTCCGCATGGATTGTAGTGAAGATTTAGAATTTAGTTTTTTTAGGCTAGAAAGTTTTAATATTGCTTCAGTTCAAAAAGGAGGGTGATGGCAGAGGCCGCTTTTAACGTAGAGTGCCCCACAATTCCGCACAAAACGCTTCCCAGCTGCACAGCTTCAGTCGTTGCTGTCCAC